GCAGTGCTTCTTTTCTTTGTTGTCAATGGTAGTATTAATTTTAACAGATTAGACACGGTTTAGACTGTTTTGGGTGTCTCTTCCTTCTCACATTAACTGTGAACTCGAGATTAAGATGCTAATTTCAAGAATGTCTGTCACTTTTGTTTTCGGTGAATGTCTGTGAAACCTCATCTATTGCTCTTCTAGTGAGAATATCTCTAATCTTCTGATATAGTGAACTTTGCCAGTGTGTAAGTCTGTAAAGTTATGTATTTGTAAATTTTATTGTTTTGTGCTGTAAAACTTTATATAAAGTGAGTGAAGAGTGTGTTGTTGTTCTGCAGGTTGAGAGATTGTGGCGTCACAGATGAAGGTTGTGCTGCTCTGAGTTCAGCTCTGAGATCAAACTCCTCACAGCTGAGAACTGGATCTGTATGTGAATAAAGTAGGAGATGCAGGTCTGAAGCTGATCTCTGATGCACTGAAGGATCCTTGCTGTAAACTGGAGACACTGACGTAAGAAAATATTCAGTATTAAGCTCCAGTGAAACAATTATGTATTATAATAATATATATTATTCACCCAAACATGAAAATTCTGTCATTTACTCACTTTCATGTCATCCCACATCTATATGAATTTCAGCCTTCAAATGAACACAATTGAAGATTACAAAAAAATCTAATTATCATTTGTAAATTAAAACATGTAAGTTGTAGCAGCTTTACATATCCACTCGCTCTAGTGTTAACCTAGATAAAAGTGCACTATTGAGTGGAAACAACATAATATCTGCCATCATTTTTACTCGCACAGATCAGTGTAATACATCAGTCTACTTTTATTTGTGTGCACTCACAATATTAACAAATCATTATGGTTTTGTAAAATAAAGAAAACAAACAGGATGCGCTTTCTGCCGTCTCTGACACCGTGAACTGGAGTGCTTCACAAAAATGAAAAAATTGCCTCACAGACATGACAAATATATCTATAAAAAGCTAGAAATGTCTAAACAAACCAATTTCAAATTGAACAGATACTCTCTGATGATGTAATCGTATGAAAGGTGCATTTCTTTCTAATGGCGCATCACTGTACTGCAGAGATTAATAAATAATTAAAATATCTATAAAGGATCACTATGGATTACTTATTGCCCAGCTTGTACATATAAAGAAGAACATAATTCAGTTAAAGGGAAATTATCATGAAATGTTCCTAAAATGTTTGTGTTCTGAGGAGAATTGCCTGCAACAGCCATTTTATGATGGTTTGTGATTTTGGTCTTAGTGACTTAGTAGTTCTCTTGATTACCCGTAACATAGTTCTCTTGATTACCTGTAACCAGGGGTGAACTGAGGCTAAAATGTGGCCCTGGACCTTCTGGCACAGATCGGCCCACCACACCCAGTTCACAACACACCACTCCATAAACACACCTGCTCGTTATGCACTGAGCATTTAACCCCAATTACTGACAAAACAGTATAACATAAAACAGAAATAAAAATGCTATCTTTTTTTAGCCTTAAGATATTTTGTGAATACGGCCCCAGGACCCATATGCATAAAACTTCTCAGAATTTCTCTTAAGAATAGTCTTAAAGGGATAGTTCACCCAAAAATTTAAATTCTGTCATTAATTACTCACCCTCATGTTGTTCCAAACCTGTAAGACCTTCTTTCGTCTTCGGAACACAAATAAAGATATTTTTGATGAAATCCGAGAGCTTTCTGATCCTCTATAGACAGCAAGGGTCCTACCACGGTCAAAGCAAAAAACGTAGTAAGTACTAGGGCTGGCCGGTATATCGAGTTTGTACGACATATCGATATTTTCTTTATAAGCGATTCGATATGAGGCAATACCGTTTATATCGATTTACAGTAGTTTGATACAAGCTCATCTGAAAATATAGCAGAGGACACAGACTGAGCTGTTGCGGAGAAAGTGCATGATCCAATTTGTTCTAAACATGTGACGAGCTTCATATTAAGGCCTTTAAAAACTGGTAAGACATAATTTATAGTTTCGTTTCGCATATTAGTTTAAGCGGCTCGCCCCGTCCGATGCTCTGACAGAAAGGCCGCGTGTGCCGCTGACAGAGACACTAGGCTACTCGCGCTGTTTAATGTGTTTGAGATGTGCTGTCTTCCTGAATGCATAACTTGCATTTCACAGGTATATTCTCCCACTATAAATGGTAGAAAGCCATGAAAATATTTCCATTTTTCTGTCAGAAGTGCATAAGCCTTCTGCTTTGGGATTCTCCGCTAAACTTCACAGACTTCAGTGATCGAGCGATGCTGCACGCATGCGCGCCAAACAGACCGAGCTCAATTAAATAGGAGCGCAATAATTCTGACTGACTGTTGTAAATAAACAAGTTGTAAAAGTTTTCTGTTTTTAGTTGAAAATGGTGTTGTGTAAACGTTCCCTTAGACATGAGACAAAATAATAATGCCTTCTGAGATGTAACACACACAAATTTAGCATTTAATATCATAGTCTGTGTTTGTGTGTTTGTTTCTGCTGAACTGAGAGTGAAGAGTGTGTTGTTGTTCTGCAGGTTGAGAGATTGTGACGTCTCCGCTGAAGATTGTGCTGCTCTGAGTTCAGCTCTGAGATTAAACTCCTCACATCTGAGAAAACTAAGTCTGTTTGGGAATAATGTAGGAGATGCAGGAGTGAAGCTGCTCTCTGATGCACTGAAGGATCCTCGCTGTAAACTGGAGATACTGAAGTAAGAACATATTCAGTATTAAGCTCCAGTGAAACAATTATGTATCTTCTGGTTATATTAGATCTCTGTGAGTTCATATAATGCAAATGGATAGTAACCTCAGAGTTTATGCTTCAAAGAAAATGCAAAACAAACACAGCTATCATCCAAAAAGACCCCAGTTGATGAATCAGTGTCTTCTAAAGCAAAACCATACTTGTGTGTAAGAAAAATATTAATATTTGTAACTTCAAATTAGTGCTTCACAGCTTTTAGGATAATATGCACTTTATATTTCATTATATGGGCTCACAGAGATTCAGTATTTTTCTAACAATCTTCATTTGTGTTAATGTTAGCAACTTAGCAGTTTTGTTGCTAGATTTGGCAACTTTTCAAACTACACTTAGAAACTTTTTTTTCAAAAGCACAAAGCAGTTGGCAACACTGCTTGAACAAGCCTCTAGACTGAATGTGTAATACGCATGTGCGTGATCTCACCGTTGTTTCTGCTGAACTGAGAGTGAAGAGTGTGTTGTTGTTCTGCAGGTTGAGAGATTGTGGCATCACAGCTGAAGGTTGTACTGCTCTGAGTTCAGCTCTGAGTTCAAACCCCTCACAGCTGAGAGAACTGGATCTGTCTGGGGATAAAGTAGGAGATGCAGGAGTGAAGCTGATCTCTGATGCACTGAAGGATCCTCGCTGTGAACTGGAGAAACTGATGTAAGATCATACATTAAGCTCAACTGAAACAATTATAAATATTAGGGTCTGTCTTCATGTAATTTACATTAAAGGGACACTTCGCCCAAAATATATAAATTCTCTTATCATTTACTCGCTCTCATGTCATAACAGATCTATATAAATTTATTCCATCAAATGAACACAAATGAAGTTTAAAAAAAATAAAAAATCCATCTCTCTCAGTCCATATAATGCAAATGGATGATAACCTCAGAGTTTATGCTTCAAAAACCATCTAAAATTAACACAACTATAATCCACAAAGACCCCAGTTGATAAATCAATGTCTTCTGAAGCAAAACATATAGTTGTGTGTAATATTTAAGTAATATTTAAACTTTTTTAAGTGTATATTGAAGCTCAAGCCAGAAGTGACTGTGTTTCTGCTTCACTTCTCACATCAGCTTCAGAACGAGCTTCACAACTTTTAGAATGATATGAACTTTATATTTCATTATATGGGCTCACAGAGATATTTTTCTAACACCCTTCATTTGTGTTCATGTTGCCAACTTTTAGACTACACTTGGAACCTTTTTGTCAAACTTGGAACCTAGCAACACATTTTGCAGGTTTTCAAATGTATTTAGCAACTTTTGAAAAGTGACTCAAACACTAAAAAGGTGCATATGTGTTTAGCAGTTCACACATTTGAATGAAGCTGCTAGCTGCAATTGTTCAATAATGATTGTTCATTTATAATACACATCGTTAGCTTGTACCTGTAATTGTTGATCAGTTAGGTAGCATATTAACTAACTACCGATACACTGCTTCAAACTTGTTCAGAATGTGTAGTTTTACTAGTTAATAAAACAATAAAATGTCATTGTTCAAATATATGTAATTGATCATTAATTCATTGTTGTATTTAAAAAGAGAAATGCCATTGTGATGTAAATAAACAACCAAAATACATAAGTTTTCTGTTTTCAGCTGAAAATGGTGTTGTGTAAATATCCCCTTAGACATGAGACAAAATAATAATGCCTCCTGAGATGTAACACACACAGATTTAGCATTTAATATCAATATCATATTGAGATGGCGCTGATGGCTGCCTCCGTGGCGTGCTCCGCAGTTGTTTTTATGTTTTTGTTAGTTTGTCCTGTCTTTAGTTATTTGTGGCATCTCAGCTGAAGATTGTGCTGCTCTGAGTTCAGCTCTGAGATCAAACCCCTCACAGCTGAGAGAACTGGATCTGTCTGAGAATAAACTAGGAGATGCAGGAGTGAAGCTGCTCTCTGATGCACTGAAGGATCCTCGCTGTAAACTGGAGAAACTGACGTAAGAACATATCCAGTATTAAGCTCCAGTGAAACAATTATGTATCTTCTGGTTATATTAGATCTCTGTGAGTTCATATAATGCAAATGGATAGTAACCTCAGAGTTTATGCTTCAAAGAAAATGCAAAACAAACACAGCTATAATCCAAAAAGACCCCAGTTGATGAATCAGTGTCTTCTAAAGCAAAACCATACTTGTGTGTAAGAAAAATATTAATATTTGTAACTTCAAATTAGTGCTTCACAGCTTTTAGGATAATATGCACTTTATATTTAATTATATGGGCTCACAGAGATTCAGTATTTTTCTAACAATCTTCATTTGTGTTAATGTTAGCAACTTAGCAATTTTGTTGCTAGATTTGGCGACTTTTCAAACTACACTTAGAAACTTTTTTTTCAAAAGCACAAAGCAGTTGGCAACACTGCTTGAACAAGCCTCTAGACTGAATGTGTAATACGCATGTGCGTGATCTCACCGTTGTTTCTGCTGAACTGAGAGTGAAGAGTGTGTTGTTGTTCTGCAGGTTGTGGGATTGTGGCTTCACAGCTGAAGGTTGTGCTGCTCTGAGTTCAGCTCTGAAATCAAACCCCTCACATCTGAGAGAACTGGATCTGTTTAGGAATAAACTAGAACAGTCGAGTGTGAAGCTGCTCTCTGCTTTAAAAAACGATCCACATTATAAACTGGAGACACTGAAGTAAGTAGTAATGATTCATGTATCACATAATAATGTCATTTGAATCAATCCCCAGTACAGATGTGTGTTAGCAGTAATGCTTCATAATGCATCTCTTACTGTGTTTAGTACCAGCAGGTATTAAATGATAGAGAATATGGATCACGACAGACACATTGAAGTCAACAGAATCATCAGAACTGAAGCTACAGTGATCCAGCGCTGATGTGTGTGAGTTACAGGAGTTTACAGAGGCACTGTCACGATTACTTGGATTTTAACAACAGCAGCTACACACAGAAAAGAGTAAGACAAAACTTAAAATGTTTAAAGGGTCTGCTACTTTTACTTTTATCTACTCGCAATAAAAACTCAAAATTGCACCAAAAAAAACAGGATGCTTTTTGTGATGCCTCCAATCTCTGATTTTTTAATCTGGAGCACATCACAAAAATGAACAATCTAGATAAATCTAGATAAGCCTGTGCGTGTTTTACTAGTTGTGCTATTTCAGACCTTTCATTGCCATTTAGACCTATTACTGAAAGCAGAGGATTTGTAATATTTAGAATGAAATATGCTGTCCTTGATATATAGGCAACTTTTCAATACGTCTAAATATCACAAAACAAGTATGTATATTTTATGCTAATATGATCAAATCAAAATTGTATATGCTTTATAATAAGATGTACATATACCATTATGATGTAAAACTAAGTGTTTAGACTGTATTTTGTTTAATTCTATATTTCATTCAATGCATTGTTTTAAGTAAATGTTGTTACACACACTCAAAGTATTCAAAGGTCTTGTGATAAACATGTTAGTATGTTTAGTATGTTTCATGGCCCAAGTTTAAGAAATATCTTTTTTTACTGACCAAATATTGTATTTTTACTAACCAATATTATTATAACACAATTTGTTCTGAATACAGTGCAATGAGACTGAAGTCATTAATAATATCTCCAGTGCCTAAAAACACAACCTGAGGGTTAAGCTCTAATATGCTTAAAACTCTTTATGATATTTCTGATGATTATATTGTATATGAATGTAATGGATTTTTTTCACATAAGATTTATTAAACTCTTCCTCCGTGAAGTTGAGCTGAGTTTCATTTGTGGGGTCAGTCTTTGATGATGATGGTTATTAATGTCTCTGTCAAACGTCATGCACATGTTTGCTCATTTAATGAGGACATGAAGTTCATTTATGACACATTTGCTATCCTCACATCATTGCTGTCTTCATGAAACTGTGTATGAAAAGCCAATGGTTATGATTATCGCTCAAAACTCATTTTAATCTGTGTCAATACAAGAGAGTTATTAATTTCATATGTAATGTGTGGCGTCTCAGTGATACTGTCTGATCTCATAAGCAGGGTCTTAGCTCAAATTCATGGGTCTGGACTGGGACAACATTAGGGTGCATGAGTGGGTCCCTCATCTAACCTGTTTAAGTTTAAGCAGATTAGATCTAATCAGCAAAATATCTTTTTGTTTAGTGAAAATTACTTTCATTAACCAAGAAAAAAGGACGTTTAAGGTCAACAGACACTGATGACAGTAATAGTTTTAAAAGTCAAACGCCAGACAGGAAAAGCTTCTCAAATGACAGTCACTTCTGGGTTTTCTGGGACACATCGATGTGATCGGCGCTCTTCTGCTCTGCCTGGCACTCGCTCATCATCGCGCTCTGACATCCACACATCCGCCTGTGGATCGCGGAAGCAGAAGGCGCTGGACATAAGCGATAATACAGCGTTTTAATATAGTTTTAAGTGGATTAGTCTCAGATTTATTCATCTTAATGCGCATTAAAGACTTCTGAATGACTCTATAGCGGCAGAAGACGCTGTTTTTAGGATTAAAAGGTATGTTTTTATCTGTTGTGTTTTCTTCTGGTTGATGTTTATATGACAGTGTTTTATGTTTCTCTCTTTATATTCGTTTTTTACTTTCATAACTAATATTTTTATGTATTGTTATTGTAAAAATAGTCATGGTGTGTTTTTAGCAAATCTGTTTGACATCCGTTGAATTGATTCTTTCATCTTTTCATATTTTTAATATGTCAGGATGCTTTGTTATAGAAGTCTGCTGGATTTGACATTGCTTATTAACTCTGATTAAATCATTAAAGTTTCTAAACAGACTGTCAGGCATCAGGTTTAACAGATGTGAGTCTCTTTACTGTCACACGTGTATAGAGATAAACACAGTCTTTGAATCCTCACAGTCATGACCTCTGATTTCCCAGCATGCAGTGCGCAGCCTCCTCTCCTCAGGACCCCACACAGGCGAGCGGTGACCGGGCCGAACTGACCAAGCTGCCCGCTAAAGACGCGTCCTCCATAGACAGCAGCCCCAGAGCGCTGACCTTTGACCTGCTGAACATGGGGATCTGCTTCAAGCGGATGGCCATCTTCCTGGAGCCGGTCACAGACTCGCTGGAGGTGCTGCGGTCCCTGCTCGGGTGAGAGACGTCCCGTAACAATCACTGACTGCACTGAGAGCTTCTGCCTGTACTTCAGGAGACTGTCGTGTGACTCTCATGAGGAGGCTGTGTTTTTGCTCTAAACGCGTCTCTGAGTTATTGATGCTGCTGCGGGTCTCCAGTATTCAGCTCTTTGTGTTGTTAGGTGGAGGATGCCGCTGTGCTCCCTGCTGAGCTGCGTTCTGCTCAACATCCTCTTCCTCACTCTGAGTGAAGGTGAGAAGCGAGTAGATGCCGTGAGCATATATTCTGTACAGATGTGATGTAACTGAGTGTCTCCTGGGGTAAATGCCCTCAGGCGCGTGGCTCTCTCTGCTGCTGCTGGCCATCTCTGCTCCGGCTGTGCTGGGGTACCTCGGCAACCGTTGCCAGGGCACGAGCTGCGAGGTGGCGGTTCAGAAGAAGAAGCACTATGCGGTGCAGCGGCGAGACCTGCAGATGGTCCACATGAGCAAACAGGAGGCCATGCTGGAGGTCAAGGGCATGTGAGTGACGTTTGAGAGAGTTTGAGTGCTGACGTCAGCACTGATGATGATGAAGATGAAGGCTTGTGTGTGTTACAGGCTGAAACGAGCAGATGAGCTGCTGACCCAGGCGTGTGTGTGTGCAGAGTCTGTGTATAAAGTGTTGTACTGGGAGAGCCACGCCGTCTCCTCCATGTGAGTATCACGCTATGGATGCTCCTTTGTGATAATTTACCCTGTAATCATAGTTTCTGCCAAAATACTCAATGCATTTTTGTTACTTCAGTGAACTTGGAATTAACTACCACTGTCCACAAAAACATTCAATAATATGATTGAAATCATATGATATGAAAAGGTTATATTTTAAGGAGATCATATTAGACTATGGTTTTACAGTAGTAATAATAATGCATAACTGTTGTGTAATTCTGTGTCAACCCAACCAGAGGTCCCTGGCTAAAATTTAGATTTTGATCTGATGAAAGAAAAATGATTTGTTCTTCAGACATTCCTCTTTAAAATCCAAAAAGTATCAGCTGTTGGCAAAGTGACTCACATTTGGTTTTTAACCAGTGAAAATGTGTAGAATTTAACAGTTTGCTTGCTTATGATACCACAGTGAGATCCTCATATCTGGGATTGAACCATATAGGGCCTTAAAAATGAAGATAGGAAAATAAATGTTTAAGAAGCAGAATCTAAAAGCATATTAAGATATCTTTAATAATTCCTGAGTTAAAATAGTGTATTACTGAGTGAATTTTCATCAGTGGCTTTTAATATTTTGGCTTTAGTCACTATCACTTTCAGGATTTATGTCTTTCTTCAGATAAAATATGAACAAAATCTAAAACATTTAGCCTGGGAAGTTTCTGAAATTTGGTTGATTTGATACGGAATGACTCCATGGTATTTTGGCAGAAATTATGCTTACCGTGGTACATTTTTATAAATGATGATGTTTACTGCAGCAATATTAACCTTAACTGATGGACGCCAAACGGCAAATTACATAGATAATGTAGTATTATACATAAAATGAATGAATTATTTGCATAGTGTTGTTTTGGTCTATTTTCTGTTATCTTTTTTAAATTTGTAATGCAAAATGTCTAATAAAAGCAAAAACTGTTAGATAACTTTAAGGATAGTGAAGGTGATTGCATTGAGTGTTATTCTGTGTGTAGGTTTTACGGTTCTCTCCTGACGGTGGTTTGTCTGCTGTATATGACTCCGGTGGGTTTGAGTCTGTCTGTGCTCAACAGCGCCCTCTTTCTGTGGAACAGAAACTTCTGCAGAGGTCAGTAAATGAATGTGAATGCAAGACTGGGCACTTGTTGGTCAGAAGGTCTCTTCAGCATTTATTGCTTCAGTGTGGATCAGACTTTATGCTGATATTAAAAAGATTAGTGAATATATATATATATATATATATATATATATATATATATTATACAGATTCAGTATTTTCATTCAGTTTCAATAAGCTAGACATTCTCACACAGCTTCCTTTCTCTTGTTCCCTCTAGCTCTTTTGGAGCTGAAGGAGTTCGTTACCCCAAGTCGAGTCCAGCCTGCGGAGGAAACTGAACCATGTGACCCAGATCAGTCAAACCTGCTGGAACGCACACCCACTCCAACCAGTGTGGAGGTGAGAGAGAATTAAAACATACACACTTGCTACAACCATAAAACACTTTAGACCAGGGGTGCCCAAACCCGGTCCCGCAGGACACCGGCCCTCCAGGAGCGAGTTTGGGCACCCCTGCTTTGGATTAGGGTTGTGACGGTGAGGACATTTTCCCACCGGTTAATCGACGTGTGACAACACCGGTAATACCGGTATCACCGCGGGGGCGTTCCCTCTTTTTCTCGCTTTCCTTCGCTTTTAAATAACTTGTAAAAGCGGCGTGTGCATTTTACTTTCACTTTCAAATAGCGGCAATTCGGCGTAAAGCAATTGTTCGTTTTTAGTTCGTTTGAATTTCCCCTTTTCCTCGCTTTTCTTCACTTTTAAATAACTTAAATGCAGTGTGCGCATTTTACTTTCACTTTCGAATTAGCGGCAGTTCGGCGTCAATTGCTTGAATGCAACAACAAAATACAACATCAAACACACTTTAGCCTATATATAAAACATAGAACTTTTTTATTAACAAAATGAATAAAAATACACCATGCTATAGGGCAGGCTATGCCTAATATAAAATAACAAATAACTTGCATAAAGATTAAATAGGTATACAAAACTGGAAATAGGTTAAGTAAACATGTATAATATATAACCAAATAAATAAGAAACGTAGAACCTTTATTAGCAAAACGAGTAAGAAACCTTGGAGGCACGGCATACACCTTGATGTCAAATTAAATAAATAAATGACACAAAGTTTAAATAAAGTAAAAATCAGCAAACAATGTGGAACCAATTAAATAAAAAACGAATGTTTAAAAAAACGTCCAAAATCACCTTAGATAAATGGCAAAAGTCAACAGGCTTTTCAAAATCCAAAATATTGCCAAACAGGCGCTTTTGCATTTCGTTTCGAAACGAAATCATCCCACCTCACTCGTCTTGTCAGTCAGCTCGACTCACTCTCCTCACTGGATAAGTTAAAAATTGATCTGTGATGTGACTGTCGTTTGGCACGCTGCATTGAGCAGTTTTTAATTGTAGTGTCTGTTCTTTTACTGAACTAAATGGTTTTTATTACTATAAAAAATCAAAACGACGGTGGGGGTCGGTGACGCAGTGGGCAAGTGACGTAACCGGTGTTGCGGCTTAACACCGGTATCACGGTCAACACCGTCTATGATGCGCTACTTGGTACAGATTTCTATTTCCAGTCCAGATTGACTTATTCTGTGAATGTGCTTCCTGTTCAGGATCTGTCACCCGGCAACATTGAAGAGGCAGAGGAGGCAGAGCCTGACGATGAGTTTAAAGATGCCATAGAGGTCAGAAAATATCTATCTGTCTGTCTGTCTGTTTCTCTGTTTCTTTTTCTGACATGTTCTCCCATTTCTGCCGTTTGCCTGCTCAAGGAATCTCAGCTTGTTCCGTCGGTAAGTAGCTCTAGTGGTGTGGAGAGTTATAGCATCAATATTAGACCACAGCTAAGTGTGCAGATAATAGTGTGTTTATGAGTGTAGATATCAGCCTTCTCATTAACCAAGTAGATTTAGTTGTGTAGTGTGTATGTGTACATATCTGACCTCTGACCTCTACTCTGCTCTCCAAGGAAACTCCTCTGGCGTTAGTGGTGAGTAATAGAGTAACCGAGAGCATTTAATATCTAAGGTCACAGTCTAAACTACTGAAGAAACATTCTGTCTTTGTGTGTGCGTGTGTGCATGTTTTTGCATTAATGTAAATGCTCTGAATGCATGTGCACTGTTTTATGTGTGATTAATTAGTATATGATTATTAGATTTTAGTGGGGTGCATCTCACAAAACCTTTAAAAAAAAAAAGATTTAGATCATTTGAATAAATATTTTTCTAATGGATGTTTCATTGTTTTTAAGCAGAATATCATTTATTTTATTTTGTTTAAGGGATGAAATGTGACCTGGAAATATGTTTGTGAGATTCACCTGTATGTCTTGACTGTGTTCATTTGTGAATTTAAATTCAGATGCATCTCATTTATCTCATCAACTCCAAATAACCTCAAATATGTCGCACAGTGGATCAAGATCAAATCCAGACCTAATTAACTTTTTAAAGAATAATAATCAGATATATCTTGTTACAAGGTGCATGACTGTTGTAAATCTGTCCGGCCCGTGTTTTGAATGTAGGTGTGGCCTGTAGCCTATTTTCGACCAAAGATTGCGAGGAGATGGAGAGCCCTTAAGGTGCCCACACAAACCTGTCAATCATGATCTCTAGGTGTTCTAACCACACCCCCTCATGCCTTTATTCTTTTCGGTGGCTTGTATTAACAGTGATGTCACAGGAAACGGTTACTTGGTGAAACTTCCTTCGGGTCAGGGTTGATTGTCACACTTTCTTTTGTGCGGTCTTATTATGAGAAGGGTTGGGAAATTCTACTAACAAACACAGTGATGAGATGGGCTACTTTGTCCATTTGAGAGGCACTCTGAATTATGAAATGCATTTATGAATATGTCCAATTTGGCATCTGAATTGAATTAACTTCTTTGAGATGTGCCCAACATTCACTAGAGCCTTTAGAGGGCTTGTGGTGTTTTTATGGTGTTAAGTGCTGTACGGCACAGAAATCAGAGTCCTCTCGCCGGTCATCAGATGACTGCAGGAAACGAAGCTCAGCAGCAACAAACATGGGTCAGGTTTACCGAAGTCGTCACACGTGCCGCTACAGGCAGAGATTCATCTGATTCTAATGACTTCAGTAAACCTGATCTCTAAACCTAAAGCCCTCTACATACAGAATGGAACGAACAAAGAGAAAACCTTCACACACCTTTACTGATTCATGTTTATGGGTCAATGACAAGATGATCTGGTTTAAAAATGTAGTTTAGTTGAAAACATACCATATATTTGAATCATGAATATAAATTTTCTTGGGTCAAACTATTTGATGTGCAATTAATAAAAATATTAAATATATATTTTATAACTTAGTTAAACAACCTTAAAAAAATGTACCACCCAAAAAAAATAAAAAAAGGATTAAAAATGTAAAAATCTACTTTTTTTTTTTAATCAATTTGGAAAAATCAGGTCATTGACCTATGTGGAAATTGTCTCCGTTTTATTAAAAGGTTGTGTGCCAGTTTTGTCATGAGAGTGTAAGTGAAAGATATTTTGGTGTCGAGCTGAACAGGAGAACTAATGGGTTCAGATCTGTCACCTCATTTCTTCTAAGTATGAATATGATTCATTTATCTCCGTCTCTCTGTGTTTATCTCTGGTAGGATGACGAGGACGTGTCGTCTGGTGTTCCTGAGTTTGACACGGTGTCTGATAACGGGCTGCTGAGCAGAAACGAGCCCATCCGCAGTAAAGTGTCCAAACTCACTGAAAAACTTCGCAAGCGTGTCCCTTCCAACACCATCGGTCACTATCGATCTCTTTGTACTTCATACTTTTTCGCCATCTATATTATATCCACCTTTAAAACCATATTTTCTTTTTGTCCTTCCACAGGGAACTGTTCCCAGTGCAATTCAGCGTTTTCTGTTTTAAAGAAAAGGGTATGGCCTCTGATCTTTATCCTGTTTAACATGCTATTCAACTTCTATGATGTTTCAGTTTCACTCATGATTATCTTATTTTTCCAGAGAAACTGCAGTAACTGTGGTGTCAGTTTTTGTTCCCGCTGTTGCTCATATAAAGTGTTCAAATCCATCATGGGAGCCACAGGTATGAGAAGAGCGTGTGAATCTAGTAAAGAATGTTTTATTGAAGACGAATTTACACACTGTTCTTTTTCTTTCTCGCACCCTTCAGCTCCTGAAGCCCAAAGAGAGACTGTATTTGTTTGTTCTGTGTGTAATACTTTCCTCACCACCAAGTAGGATTGACGAAATAATCTTTCACCATTGCAATGCTTTGAAAGAAACTAGGAGAAGAACCACAAGACGGCTACTCCAGTGATTCTTGCTGTTTCTTTCCTTCACTGTGGAGCATTTCACATGGACGACCAAAATCCTGCAGCTTATGTTGCCTCAACACTCTTTCTGAGGTTCCTCTGAGTGTTTTTTTTGGTCTGTCCAAAACTCGTGACCCCTATGTGAACTCCTTTATGCCAAAATGGTGACCTTTTCCTTGGAATATGCTGCTTTCCTCAGTCACCACTATTATTTATCAAAGCCTCACACCAAGATGATTGGTTTATTTGGAATTCACTTTGCTGCAATATCAAATGCTGTAGTTTCATCAACCCTTATTATAACACCACTTTCCAGAATTTGAGCCCTTGGTGGGATATATGTCAGATTAATATTAAGGGTCCAGTTTATCTGTTATTATGATATCACATCATCCTAAAGGGGAAAACAAGACCATATTTATTGAACTGGATGCCGAAACCAATGAATCTGAGCATTTTATATGGGTTCTATATACTGTACCACATACTGTCAAATCTGATTAGTTGACATCAGTGGAAGAATATGAGTCAGTTTAATTCTGTCATAAACCCTTTGACTAAGCCTTTACAATTCAACCTTCTGCTAGCTGCTTATCTGCTTGAACCCATGATTATTGGTTATATCATTTATTTGTGCAAGTTTGTCTGGAAAAGCTTTAATTTATATACATGTGTGTTTGTTGTTGGAACACCCTCAGAAACCATTTATACTGATCAAAATAATAGCATTATATTATATCTCCAAATCATACCCAAGAGTACCCCTATTCACATAGTTATTGAACGAATGAGCTATGTTCGTGTCATTTTATTTGTGTGTGTCTTTAAGCCAAGGTTGAAATGTGCTATGTATGTCGCACTACTGCTATTTAAACACAAATTCAAATCTATTGGGAAGTTATCCATAGTATAGCACCACCCGTTTCCTTGGTTAAATGTACTGTTACAGTAATAAACGATTTAAATATGAATATATAGCTGTGTGGCATTTCTGTGAGGAATTTTCGCGCCACCGTCTGTTAAGATTCTTTTCGCGCGAAACAAACCTGTGTTTTGGCGCCTTTTTTACTGAAAAGCGCTCGTTCTGGCGTACTGTTGCTATGGTTACCTCCTCCGGCGAACGGGTTCTCTTCGTGAGAGTCCCTTAGTGATCTCTGACAAATTTATATCGTAATATTTGTCATTCCCGAAGGAGCTTTTAAAAGTAAATATATAACCCAAAACATGGTCTGACTTGGCTGAGCTCAATTCTTGAAAGCGGCATCAGGTGCTCCTCCCTCCGCGCGGCATCAGATTGTGTGCTTGTTTCCGGCCCCGCCCCCTCTCCGTTTATGCTCGAGCGCAAACGGTTATTCCCGTGAACCCGTTTCAGCACCGGGACAGGCATCTCGCGCTCGCATGGCAACATGGCCACAGAGGTGAGAAACAGACCTTTATTCATCGTTTTTGTGCCAGGTGTGTTTATATGACCCGAATCTCGGCGTTATTTTGATCGTAACTCTGGGTTGGAGATCACGGATCAGTGCGGGACGTTACGGTGTATAACGGTAGCTCCGTCGCGGTTCTCACGCGTCGCTTTTAAAACCGTTTAAAACCGTTATAATTGCTGCTCAGCCCAAAAGACACGGAGTAAAATAAACATGCAATACAGAGAGTGAACTAAACCCTATAACTGCCACAAGTGAAGAGCTGACCATTGATCATGGCAACAACATGAGAGAGAGATAGATAGATTAATAGAGAGAAATGGATAGATTAATAGATAGATAGAGATGATAGAGAGGAATGGATAGATAGATAGAGATGATAGAGAGGAATGGATAGATAGATAGAGATGATAGAGAGGAATGGATAGATAGATAGAGATGATAGAGAGGAATGGATAGATAGATAGATAGATAGATAGAGAGGAATGGATGGATAGATAGAGATGATAGAGATGAATGGATAGATAGATAGAGATGAATGGATAGATAGAGATGATAGAGAGGAATGGCTAGTTAGATAGAGATGAATGGATAGATAGATAGAGATGAATGGATAGATAGAGATGATAGAGAGGAATGGCTAGTTAGATAGAGATGAATGGATAGATAGATAGAGATGAATGGATAGATAGAGATGATAGAGAGGAATGGCTAGTTAGATAGAGATGAATGGATAGATAGATAGAGATGAATGGATAGATAGAGATGATAGAGAGGAATGGCTAGTTAGATAGAGATGAATGGATAGATAGATAGAGATGAATGGATAGATAGAGATGATAGAGAGGAATGGCTAGTTAGATAGAGATGAATGGATAGATAGATAGAGATGAATGGATAGATAGAGATGATAGAGAGGAATGGCTAGTTAGATAGAGATGAATGGATAGATAGATAGAGATGAATGGATAGATAGAGATGATAGAGAGGAATGGCTAGTTAGATAGAGATGAATGGATAGATAGATAGAGATGAATGGATAGATAGAGATGATAGAGAGGAATGGCTAGTTAGATAGAGATGAATGGATAGATAGATAGAGATGAATGGATAGATAGAGATGATAGAGAGGAATGGCTAGTTAGATAGAGATGAATGGATAGATAGATAGAGATGAATGGATAGATAGAGATGATAGAGAGGAATGGCTAGTTAGATAGAGATGAATGGATAGATAGATAGAGATGAATGGATAGATAGAGATGATAGAGAGGAATGGCTAGTTAGATAGAGATGAATGGATAGATAGATAGAGATGAATGGATAGATAGAGATGATAGAGAGGAATGGCTAGTTAGATAGAGATGAATGGATAGATAGATAGAGATGAATGGATAGATAGAGATGATAGAGAGGAATGGCTAGTTAGATAGAGATGAATGGATAGATAGATAGAGATGAATGGATAGATAGAGATGATAGAGAGGAATGGCTAGTTAGATAGAGATGAATGGATAGATAGATAGAGATGAATGGATAGATAGAGATGATAGAGAGGAATGGCTAGTTAGATAGAGATGAATGGATAGATAGATAGAGATGAATGGATAGATAGAGATGATAGAGAGGAATGGCTAGTTAGATAGAGATGAATGGATAGATAGATAGAGATGAATGGATAGATAGAGATGATAGAGAGGAATGGCTAGTTAGATAGAGATGAATGGATAGATAGATAGAGATGAATGGATAGATAGAGATGATAGAGAGGAATGGCTAGTTAGATAGAGATGAATGGATAGATAGATAGAGATGAATGGATAGATAGAGATGATAGAGAGGAATGGATAGATAGATAGAGATGATAGAGAGGAATGGATGGATAGATAGATGGATGGACAGATAGATAGATAGATGGATGGATGGACAGATAGATAGATAGATAGATAGATGGATAGACATAGATAGATAGATAGATGGATAGATAGATAGATAGATGGATGGACAGATAGATAGATAGATAGATGGATGGACAGATAGATAGAGATGAATAGATAGAGATGAATGGACAGATAGATAGATGGATGGACAGATAGATAGATAGATGGATAGACAGATAGATAGAGATGAATGGATAGATAGATAGATGGATGGACAGATAGATAGAGATGAATAGAGGAATGGATAGAGAGGAATGGATAGATAGATAGATAGATAGATGGATGGACAGATAGATAGATAGAGATGAATGGATAGATAGATAGATAGAGAGGAATGGATAGATAGATAGAGATGATAGAGAGGAATGGATAGAGATGAATGGATAGATAGATAGATAGAGATGAATGGATAGATAGATATGGATAGAGATGAATGGATAGATGGATAGATGGATGGACAGATAGATAGATAGATAGATGGATGGACAGATAAATAGAGATGAATGGATAGATAGATAGATAGATAGATGGATGGACAGATAGATAGATAGAGATGAATAGATAGAGATGAATGGATAGATAGATATGGATAGAGATGAATGGATAGATAGATATGGATAGAGATGAATGGATAGATAGAGATGAGTAGATAGAGATGAATGGATGGACAGATAGATAGATGGATGGACAGATAGATAGATAGAGATGAATGGATAGATAGAGATGAATGATAGATAGATGGATTAATAGATAGAGATGAATGGATAGATAGATATGGATAGAGATGAATGGATAGATAGAGATGAATAGATAGAGATGAATGGATGGACAGATAGATAGATAGAGATGAATGGATAGATAGATGGATTAATAGATAGAGATGAATGGATAGATAGATATGGATAGAGATGAATGGATAGATAGATAGATGGACGGATGGATCGATAGATAGATAGATAGAGAGGAATGGATAGATAGATAGATAGAGATGAATGGATAGATAGAGATGGATAGATAGATGGATGGATAGATAGAGATGAATAGATAGAGATGAATGGATAGATAGATGGACGGATGGATAGATAGCTAGATAGATAGAGAGGAATGGATAGATAGATAGATAGATAGATAGATAGATAGATAGATAGATAGATAGACAGATAGATAGATAGATAGATAGATAGAGAGGAATGGATAGATAGATAGATAGAGAGATGGACGGATGGATAGATAGATAGAGAGGAATGGATAGATAGATAGATAGATAGATAGAGAGGAATGGATAGATAGATAGATAGATAGATGGACGGATGGATAGATAGATAGATAGATAGATAGATAGATAGATAGATAGATAGATGGATAGAGAGGAATGGATAGATAGATGGACGGATGGATAGATAGATAGATAGATAGATAGATAGATAGATAGATAGATGGATAGAGAGGAATGGATAGATAGATGGACGGATGGATAGATAGATGGATAGATAGAGAGATTGTGTCATAATCTGGTAATCTTGTTTGTCATTTAGTCAAATGTTCTTTATTATGGCTGAATTTAACAAACTAGGTTTCCTCCGTTTAAAGAGTGTGATCAGGCAGAGATGGTGACTAGTTATGAAGTAATGTTGACACTGATCAGCAGCTGATGTTTTTCTGTCAGATCGAGTGCTAAAGTAAAAAGGGAGATACCACATACACAAAGACATTTTTTATTGATGTTACTGTTTAAGTTTTTGGTAACACTTTATTTTAAGGCGTCCTTGTTACACGTTACATGTACTTACTATTATAATAACAATAAATTATGCATAATTACATGCAAGTAACGAGACAAACTCTAATCCTAACCCTAACCATATACTAGTAAGTACATGTAGTCAATATTACTCAGTACTTAAATGTATAATTACACTGTAACAAGGACACCTTAAATTAAAGTGTGACCAAGTCTTGCAACCATACATGTTATAAGAATACAAAATAAGCTTTTTCAGTAGTGCTTTCAGATATGTGGACTTATTTAGTTGTTTATTGCTGACACCGAGTGTCACGATGGCCTGAAATGCTGTTGCTAATGTAGCAGATGCTTAGAGCAGATGCTTGCCAGAGCATGTGCTATTATAATAACAATAAATTATGCATAATTACATGCAAGTAACGAGCCAAACCCTAACCATATACTAGTAAGTACATGTAGTCAATATTACTCAGTACTTAAATGTATAATTACACTGTAACAAGGACACCTTAAATTAAAGTGTGACCAAGTCTTGCAACCATACATGTTATAAGAATACAAAATAAGCTTTTTCAGTAGTGCTTTCAGATATGTGGACTTATTTAGTTGTTTATTGCTGACACCGAGTGTCACGATGGCCTGAAATGCTGTTGCTAATGTAGCAGATGCTTAGAGCAGATGCTTGCCAGAGCATGTGTTCTTAAAGCACTGTGCTCATCACACAAGATGACAAAGGCTAGTGTTTGTGGTCAGAAGGATCTGGTGCTGTATTCAAATGAGCGCGTGACGTAGCGGAGCACGCAGCTGGACATCAGAGAGGATAAAGCGGCTGTCCGCGGCTCCTTAAGCTCGTAACAAGGACACCTTAAATTAAAGTGTGACCAAGTCTTGCAACCATACATGTTATAAGAATACAAAATAAGCTTTTTCAGTGGTGCTTTCGGATATGTGGACTTATTTAGTTGTTTATTGCTGACACCGAGTGTCACGATGGCCTGAAATGCTGTTGCTTAGAGCAGATGCTTGCAAGAGCATGTGTTCTTAAAGCACTGTGCTCATCACACAAGATGACAAAGGCTAGTGTTTGTGGTCAGAAGGATCTGGTGCTGTATTCAAATGAGCGCGTGACGTAGCGGAGCACGCAGCTGGACATCAGAGAGGATAAAGCGGCTGTCCGCGGCTCCTTAAGCTCTTTTAGCCAGAGCACACTGCGTGTTTGTGCGTCTCTTTCATCGGTGACCGGATCAGGAATGAGTTCAGCACCGCGGACAGCGACGGAGCGAACAAAACTCCCGTACTGCCACGAATCTGTAAGAGTTTTGTTTTTATTCCCTTTTTTAAAAGTGATTTAACTAACCATATTTGCTGTGATTTCGCGCGGTTGGGGTTCAAAATGTGATCTCACAAGTTGTTCTGGGGTTCATTTAAGAGTTAAATGTATGTCCGCCGTCCCGCCGAGTAACCTTGAGGGCGCGCGTGATGTTGTGGTTCGAGCGCGAGATCTCTTTGTTTAATCTCGTGCGAGCCGAAACCAAGCGTACTCCTCGGGGTAACGGTCAGTAATCATTGTGTACAGGCTCCACCGGATGACTAGATTGTGTTTTGATATATTTGGTATCAGCGGTGAGTGTGTGTGTTAAATGATCGTCTCCTCGCGATCGATCGGTTGTGCTCGCGGGAGTCGGTAACAGTGTGTCTCATCTTTCTGAGACAGTTACCAGGAGCGGCTTGCATGCATAATTAACGAGGCGTTTAGTAACAACAGCCCAGAACGTTTAGTTGTGATAAGTCTCGGTTTACCGGTACAAAAGTGGCGGTAACGTAATGCAATGGTGGTATCAGATGGTATTGTACAATGGTACCCTGCTGAAAAAAACAATAGAAACTCACAGAATTTCTAATGGTTTTACTGGTTATAATGGGAATTGTACTGGTTTTAATGGAAACTGTAATGGTGCCTGTTGGGTCACCTTCTATTGGTGGCTTGTTAAGGCCACTAAATCCTAATGTGATATTATATATACCATTTTAATGGTGTTTGTAGATGATCTGGCTGTGTGTGTGTGCAGATGATCTGACTGATTGTGTGTGTGTGTGTGTGTGTGTGTGTGCGCAGATGATCTGACTGATTGTGTGTGTGTGTGTGCGCAGATGATCTGACTGATTGTGTGTGTGTGTGTGTGTGTGTGTGTGGGGTATTTGTAGTGGAAACCATTAGAATTTCTGTGATGGTTTCTATTGCTTTTTCAGCAGGGTATTTATATAGAACTGTGAAGTACTTAAAAAACATGGTGCTAGCATGCTATATGTCCCTAAATCAAAAGTACCTAAGGTACTGCTAACAAAATTTTGCCAGTTGCACATTGTCCATGGTCCATGTATCATTTGAAGTAGCATGGGATGGTATATGAACGTGTTAATAATTGCATACAGTGGTTTATATCGAAGTACCATTCTTTCATTCGATTTTTCCCAACATCTTTTAGTTCTAGATCCTTCTGAGTGTATTTTTGAGGAGTTCAACAGGTAAATGTCGTGTTGTGCATTATTTGACACCGGATATGCCTTTTATCTGAGCTGTGCAAGAATTCTTGAGATCTGAGCAAATGTTGAGTGCCAGAAATTGATCTCATCCACAGCATTGAAGAGCCGTATGTGTGTGTGTGTGTGTGTGTGTGTGTTTGAATCAGTGTGTGCTGTCTCAGCCTGTTACTATTTCAGAAGGAGCCATTCACTGGCAGGCCCTGCTGCTAAAACAAAGCGAGTTTTTAAATAACATGTTGCCAGGACTGCCAGGGTAATTATACTAGCCCTTGCTTGCAGTCAGAATAATCTTTATCTGACCTTCAGATGTCCAAAGATAAAGAATAACATACAGTGATGTCCTCATTGATGCCAGTTGAGCTAAGTGTTTGTGTGGTGGTGCTGTGCAGTAGTTCGTTAAGGAATGTGCTTTCTTATTATAGTCTTCCAGTGTATGAACATTACTGGTACTGCAAGAGAAAGAGGTGAGAACGCAGGGAAGGAGTGGGGGATGGAAGCACCCACGACTCGTGCTGATGTTAGTGTGTGTGTTGGCAGTGACAGATGGCCAGTCGCTCTGATGTTTGTGTGTGTGCATACAGGCAATGAAGTGTCCATTAAATTATAAGGTCATCACTGGATTACTCTATAAGTTAATGATGACATCACTGCATTACTGTATGAGCTTTCATGATCATTAGCTCACAAAATGCAGTGTTGTCAATAGCTTGGAGTAATGCAGTGATGAAGATAAATGAAGAAAATGTCACTGCATTACTGTATAAACTAATGACAAAAACATCACTGCACTACTCTATGAGATAATGACCACATCACTGAATTACTCTGAGATAATGACAACACTGCAGAATGACAGAAACATCACTACATTAATGTAGGAGCATATGACGACAGCAGCACTGCTTTATGCTGAGCTAATGATGATGACATCTCTCCATTACTCTTTGAGCTCAAAGTGATGCAGTGATGAGCTAACACAATGTCATCACCTGCACTACACTGCTAAAATGTCTAGTACAAGCTGTCACTGACTAGCACCAATGTTCATATGTGATATAGCTGAATGCTAGCGGCTAATTTCCTCGTCAAACTTCTGGTTTCACTAGAAAATTCTACAACGCAGGACAGGAAACTGCACTTGTCAAGTGATTTTCATGCATTGTTTAACATCTAACAGGCCAAGGAAACTGAATTTATGATTAGATCAGAAGGCAGCGCACTGTAACCATCTCTCGTCCTCTGCTGTAGTTCCACAACCTTCAGGAGTTGAGACACAGTGCATCTCTGGCCAATAAGGTCTTCATTCAGAGAGACTACACGGATGGCACCGTCTGCAAGTTCCAGACCAAGTTCCCCTCCGAGTTAGACAGCAGGGTAAGAGTGTGTGTGTGTGTGTGTGTGGCAGAACAAAAGAGACACAACGCAAGTAAAAAGGAGAGGATGAGAAAAGGGCTCTTCATTCAGAGAAACTCTGCTCTTCAGCAAAGCACTGCTGAGTGCGCAAACTCCACACAACACAATGAGCTGCTAATAGAGCTGATAATAGAGCTGTTTAAAGGTGTTAGATCATGTTACAGACACCCAGTAAAGACTTGCTGAGGAAATGACAGGGAAAGGGAGTTTAACATGTAGAGCTTTCTGTGTCTTTCTCACAATCTGTTTAATTATTTTGATGCAATCAAGAGTTATCACGTGATGTCTGGCATGAGACTGATATCTTTACAATGTCAGTCAGTTTTTGATTCAAATTAGTTTTTGAATCCCATTCATTTTTGCCATATAATGTCCTTGGGTGAACTCCCTGGCGCTCTCTGATTGGCTGACTCGTCTTGTCCTTGCACCTGATTGGTCAGATCATTGTTTAACATCTAACAGGCCAAGGAAACTGAATTTATGATTAGATCAGAAGGCAGCGCACTGTAACCATCTCTCGTCCTCTGCTGTAGTTCCACAACCTTCAGGAGTTGAGACACAGTGCATCTCTGGCCAATAAGGTCTTCATTCAGAGAGACTACACGGATGGCACCGTCTGCAAGTTCCAGACCAAGTTCCCCTCCGAGTTAGACAGCAGGGTAAGAGTGTGTGTGTGTGTGTGTGTGTGTGTGTGTGGCAGAACAAAAGAGACACAACGCAAGTAAAAAGGAGAGGATGAGAAAAGGGCTCTTCATTCAGAGAAACTCTGCTCTTCAGCAAAGCACTGCTGAGTGCGCAAACTCCACACAACACAATGAGCTGCTAATAGAGCTGACAATAGAGCTGTTTAAAGGTGTTAGATCATGTTACAGACACCCAGTAAAGACTTGCTGAGGAAATGACAGGGAAAGGGAGTTTAACATGTAGAGCTTTCTGTGTCTTTCTCACAATCTGTTTAATTATTTTGATGCAATCAAGAGTTATCACGTGATGTCTGGCATGAGACTGATATCTTTACAATGTCAGTCAGTTTTTGATTCAAATTAGTTTTTGAATCCCATTCATTTTTGCCATATAATGTCCTTGGGTGAACTCCCTGGCGCTCTCTGATTGGCTGACTCGTCTTGTCCTTGCACCTGATTGGTCAGATTGAGAGGACGCTGTTTGAAGACACGGTGAAGATGCTGAATAATTACTATGCAGAGGCGGAGAAGATCGGAGGCCAGTCCTACATCGAGGGATGTCTGGCCTGCCTCACGGTTTACCTCGTATTCCTGTGCATCGAGACGCGCTATGACAAGGTACATTATCAGTTTCAGATTCAGATAAAGCCACCCTGAAATGGCATGTAAACATAAAACATACTATCATATGTTGCTTTATGTGCCGTTTTTTGCAAACTATGGCAAATAAAAATGATGCTGATGATTAAAAGTGCATCTTGTGTGTGTTTGTGCAGGTGCTGAAGAAGATCTCGCGGTACATTCAGGAGCAGAATGAGAAGGTCTACGCTCCTCGAGGTCTCCTCATCACAGACCCCATAGAGAGAGGCATGAGGGTCGTATCCTTACAGAGTCTGTCTGTGTGTGTGTGTGTGTGTGTGTGTGTGTGAGAGAACAAATGGTCAGTGGAAGTGCTTGTACTTCAGAAACTGTTGTTAGTACAGCTTAGGATGTCACATAAACTCTTTTATTATCTCTTCATTTTGTGTGAGGTTTGCAATTATTGCAAACCTGAAGACAAGATTTTGAACAAAATGTGAGAAATAGCCAAATATTGTTTTTGGCTTATATGTTAATTCAGTTTTTTAACAATAAATTGCTATCACTTCAACAGATTTTATTGAATATCAAATAAGATAAATATAGTTTTTCATAATTAAATGTATTAATAAAAATATGAATATTTAAGATTTATTTTTATTCCTATATATATTTAGTGCATTAAATTCAAAAGATAATGTTAAATCTCAAATAAGCTAAATATTGTTTTTCGTAATTAAATTAGGTTCATAAGTAATATTTATATATTTATACATTATATAATATTTCTAACTTCATAATTATTATATGATCTTAGATTATTTATTTTTATAATATATTTTATTTTTCACAATTGAATATCAATTGAACAGATATTGCTATTTTTTTTTTACTGAAGAAAGTAGTTAATATAAAATATCTAATAAGCTCTCACTATAAATAATTTGTCAGATTTCTGCCTTTATTGCTTTAAAACAGTAATTGGACCATTGGTTATTATAACTAACTAAAACCATAAAACCCTTGAAATAAAATTAAATATAAAAAACATAATCAATTTAATAAGAAATTATATAGAAATACAACAATAATAATAGTTTTTAAAAAATTATTAAAAATGAAACTAAAATTAAAACAGAAAATGTATAAGTAAAATGCCTTCAAAATATTAACAAAAACTGTAATAGTTTATCAATGATAAAATGAAACTGGACACCAGTTTCAATCATAGTCATTGCAAGTCGTCTAGTAAAAGCATGTATGTGTAAAGTGATTTGTTTAGTAGTTTGTGCATGTAAGGTTGTGTAATACTGTGATATTACTCCCTTAACCTGTGTGTGTGTGTTAGATTGAGATCAGTGTGTACGAGGATCGCGGCTCCAGTGGTTCAAGCTCAGGAAGCAGCACAACCAGCAGCAGCGGACGATGATTCACACACACACTCGCCCACGTGTGACGCCTTCATACTCACGCCCGCTCAGCATCGCCAAACACACCTGACATGAACTGCCTCCACAAGACACATCAGCTTCTGGATCAGCAGCGCGTCATTACCGCCACCTTCACTGAAACCTTCCAGTCACTCACTGTAGCATCCTGGGTAAAGCGCACATGAGCTTCTGTCACTGTAATATGCAATCTCACTCACAAACGCCTGTGATGTAGCTGCCGATCAGCACACAACAGTCTTCCATCATCACGATTTTTCACCCTTTTTTGTTTGAGAATTTAATGAGCACTTTTACTCTAATTATTGAACAGAAGTCAGATTTTAGACTCGGTAGATGTCAAGGACTGAAATCTAAGCCCATATATTTTATACAGGCCCCAGACACTGCCATCTTATTCCACGGGTACCATTTATGACTTTGTTTTATTTCATAGTGTGCTAATCGTTCATACTTTGTACTCATAACGCGTCGTCAGAGCAGAAACGAGTCCTGATGACGTGACTGCCAAGAGCTTCCTCACATGGTCTTTCATCATGAGCTTCCATTTCGTACTGAGAACCTTTGTCCCCTGTTTATGCAAAGATCAAGCGTAAAAGAAGCTGAGAGTGCTTTTCTGTTGTGTAGCAAAATAAATAAACAACGATGGTCAAATAAACGAGTTCTGCTTTTGTGTATTTGATCCACATTTTATTTAAATGTATTTTTATGCACAGGGTTTTTAGGCATTTTACACTTGACTAAAATGAAGTGCTTTCATGTAAAACGACATTGTTTTTTGCCATTAAGTTTTTAAGATATTAATATATATATATATATGCCTCTTTGGCGCCACTCTGTTTGAGATGATCTTCTTTACGTGGGTTGTGCATCGGCATGGCTCTAGCGCGGATTAATCTAATGTTTTGAGGTGTATGTGTATTCACTGTACTTCGGAATTGCAGATACATCTTGGAAATATGTCAAAAATAATACGTTTTGCTGGAAAATGTCATCTGAAGAAGTAAGTAGCATGTCTGCCAGTTTCACTTTGACCAACTGAAAAAAAAAAAAAAAGTTTTACAATAAATTGTGCTACCAGTGTGCTTAAATCTAACGATCACAATTGCTTTAAAGTTAGCTCAGATCACATCAAACGTGCAAATATTATAATTTGTTCTCAAATTGTTAATGTCAACACTGAATTAGTTTAGTGTGTATTTAGTTATCTGTAGATTTGAATTTCTGTACAGTCTAATCTCTAATTGACATAATATTCGATTGTCATAGAAAAAATGTGTTCTTTTAAACTCAAAAATCTATTTAATGTTCCTTATCACTCGTTCTAAAATGACAAGTTTAAATATTACAGCTGTTGTAAGAAGAGGCAACAAATTGATCCGCCACCACATGCGATATAGCCTACTAGCCGGGACTCCTTTATGTATACAGACGTGACATAATGACGCAAAGACGAAACTAGCAAAAATGCTACTAGCAAACTAGCATTTCCCGCGAAAACCGACCCAAACCCGAATAAGAAAACATTTTTCAAGCTTAACGTTGTGAATCGGGGGCTAAGGTGAGGGAGATAGTTTTGAACACTGATTGGTTATGTACTTGCTCATTAACTGATTTTGGATCATTTTTAACCAAAAAAAAAAAGTTACTGAATGCAGCTTTAATGTGCCTCTTAATATTGTAAAGTGTCAACATGTAAGGTCAATCAGCATGACACCGTGAGTTCATCCAGTTCAGCCCTTCAACTTATGTGACTTCTCTTTGTGGAGACAAATATTCATGCAGTAACACTTCACAGCACTGCTGTGTTTCCAGTCAGTCTCTCGAGGTCTGAAAGTATGATATCTTTTTCTCTCCTGTATGTGCATCATCTGATCACTCTGAGGTCCATCTTCATCGTGTTGACAGACAGTGAGTCGGACCAGAACAGAAAACCTCCAGAGACTCAACGACACGGAGACAGACCTCCAGAGACACTCAACACGGAGACCAGGAGAAGCTCAGGAAGATGAAAACTAGGACAGACAGGAGAAGAAGAGACGCTGCTGTCGTACCGGGAGGCCACAGCTGGAGACACAGAGAAAGAGGATGAGGATGAGGATGATGAAACGGGTAAGTTGGAGAAAAACAGATATGATTCTAATGTGGAAAGAAAGAAGAAATTGGTGTGCCTAGACTTGTAATGGTTTTTAGGTAATGTGTGTGCACTTATATTAGGCCGTTTATGCATTATGATTCTTCCTATTTATATAAAGAATATTTCCTTCCACGCAACTCAGAGGCGTATTGTTTTAAGCCTAATACCTAGAAACTGCAGTCAATAAACTGTACTGTAAATACACTCTACAGTTTTAAATAAAGCAAAGATTTCTGGAGTACGTTTTAAAAATTACAATTTCAGTACTTTTACTTTAAAATTGATTTCAAATTATTTAAATGCATTTATTTTCTACTTCAAAATTTACTTTATTGATTTCTTTTCACTACATTTATTTCTTTTTCACACATTTCAGTAATCATAAATAAGACTTCTTTTGAAAGATCGAAGAGTCAACACTCAAAATTAATTTTGTGAAAATCGTTTTGAAATTGGACATTGCTTTGCTTGCTTTAAAGGGGTCATCGGATGCCCATTTTCCACAAGTTGATATGATTCTTTAGGGTCTTAATGAAAAGTCTATAACATAATTTGATTACAATTTGTCAATGGTAGTGTAAAAAAACACCCCTTTTACCCTGTCAAAATCAGCTGTTTTCAGCATGCTGTTCTAGTCCATGTTGCTTTAAATGCTAATGAGCTCTGCTGCCCCCGCCCCTCTCTTCCGTGGGGTGACGAGCAGACTGTAAACTTCAGTCACGAAACTGGCTCACTAGCATATATTAGGAAAGGCAATTTGCAAAGATTCATAAAAAACCCTTTATACTCACTTCTTCTGTAGATGAAGCTGGATCACGAATGATTCGCGCGAACTTAAACGCATTTAGGCAGATCGGGGATCGGCGCATTTCCTTCAAAAACGAAATTAATGTTAATCCACTGCGTCTTCAGCAGCTCAGATGTCGGGAGTAACTGACGACTGCTATATTCATTATTACATCCAACAACAGAACACCTCGATCGCCTAATCGGAGACATTCTTGTCTTCCCCTGCACCGGAGTCGACACAATGGTGGACAGGGGTCTAAGGTAAGACGCTAGTGTCAATCAACTATCGTGGGAGTGGCCAGTGCAGAACTACGTCATTCTGACAGGAGTCTCAGAACAGCCTGATTAGAGGGTGGGATTTTATCATTATAGGGTGGATGTGTACACACACTTCCAACACACATTTATGTTCAAACAACAACAAAAGTGAATTTTGCATCCGATGACCCCTTTAACTTTTAGCAGGCTCCTTCCCCTAGTGGGCGCTGTCATTGTTTCAAATTTACAGCACGATTTTATAGTCACCTGGTGGTGATATTTAGTATAGTGCCTAAACAAAATCTCCCAAGAACAGAAATTGTGATATCAACTTCAAATTTGAAACACAAATTTGATAAACATATTTCTTTGATTTTAAAGTCCAAATGATTTTGTATTATACATTTTGTATTTAGTGCCGTGCATTTGCTTTACAGTAATCCTATTTATTGAAGTGTTTTCACTTCTGCAATAATCTATTGAGTGTCTGTTAAAGACACCAACCATAGGTCTGTATTACAGCATTCATGAATTACAGCCATTTAAATTCAGATTTAGTGCATTTTCACATCAATGCTCAAAGATGGGAAGATGGGAGTGGCCTAAATCCTATACCACTTTTTTGCAGTGTAGTTCACCAATGGACCGAAAGTAAAGAGACATTCTCAGATTCTCAGAACTCCTGCTACATTCATTCACAGTGTATTTTGTCTTCCTAAACTTAAATCTGAACGTCACCTGCACTCACCCACACACGCTCGGCCGTCTCTGCTGGGCTTGTAGCCCTCAACACATCTCTTCTTAGAGCTGCACTTATAGTGTCCGTATGTGTTGGTGCACACCGGACGAGTGTGAGGACACACGGCTGGCAGACGCCTGCACTCGTTTGCGTCTGAACAGGATGAAGGAAATGGAGACAGAATCACACTCACAGACTGGGTGCTCCCTCACGATTGCTTTATTAGTATTGCACACCATTCCAATTTTGAGTAAACAAGTTCTAAAAAAAAAAGAAAAGAAACAAGTGTGTCTGATGTAAACATTTTCCGATTTAGTTAGTGCTGACTATCATTTTACCCTTAGAAATGTGATGAATAACAGTACAAGTGTTCAGTTTCAATAGCACTACAGGAAAGATTTTGCATCTGTGGTTGAGTTTGCTGAATAACTGGTTCAGTATCAGACATCTGACAGCACAGCTCTGATTTAATGAGATGATGACACTCAATGTCCAGCTGAAAATACTCAGGCTCTCACTGTTTGAGGGGCAAGAGAGAGAAAACATGTCAATGTTTTATAATCATTCAGATGTGTTAATTAGGTGTGTACTGGAATAACTGCCAAAAGACATTAGATCAACGTTTGCATTACATTTAAAATCTTTTCTCTCTGCAATTTTTGAGACTCAAGAGATCTGAGCTCTTAAACCTTCTCAGCCAATTTGAGCAATAAAATCTGCATATTCATTAATATGCAAAACAGGGTCCAAAATTAGTTTTTTTGTCATTGAGGAAATGCACTGAGCATAAATAGTCATGAATTGCATTTTGAACTTTTGTACTAAAACAACTTTTTTGGACATTTGTGACATTTAAAGCCATTTAAAATGAAATCGTGTATGTTGTCTTGAATTCCAAGAGTTACAGAAATGCTTTTAGAAATGTTTTTACCATTTTTACTAAAATTTGGAGCAATTGTGAACTGAGCATGAAATTCACAGATAATCTTACCAATGCAACGGCCGTTTGTGTTGACTGTGAATCCCTCTCCACACTGCAGAGAATCAATACAGAGCCGTACCTCAGTATTCCCCATATTTTATTGAAGTCAGATAATATTGACCATCAGATAATAATACGTGTGTTTTGTTATAATCTAATGTCTGTTCCTAAACTGCATATTCTCCATACCTGGCTGTGTAAGGTGTGCATTGACTCCTCCTCCTCATTTGCATGCAGTCGTACCTGTGCATCAGATGTCAGTGCTGACTCCTCCCCCTCATTAGGATATGGATGAGGATGATGAAACGGGTAAGTTGGAGAAAAACAGATATGATTCTAATGTGGAAAGAAAGAAGAAATTGGTGTGCCTAGACTTGTAATGGTTTTTAGGTAATGTGTGTGCACTTATATTAGGCCGTTTATGCATTATGATTCTTCCTATTTATATAAAGAATATTTCCTTCCACGCAACTCAGAGGCGTATTGTTTTAAGCCTAATACCTAGAAACTGCAGTCAATAAACTGTACTGTAAATACACTCTACAGTTTTAAATAAAGCAAAGATTTCTGGAGTACGTTTTAAAAATTACAATTTCAGTACTTTTACTTTAAAATTGATTTCAAATTATTTAAATGCATTTATTTTCTACTTCAAAATTTACTTTATTGATTTCTTTTCACTACATTTATTTCTTTTTCACACATTTCAGTAATCATAAATAAGACTTCTTTTGAAAGATCGAAGAGTCAACACTCAAAATTAATTTTGTGAAAATCGTTTTGAAATTGGACATTGCTTTGCTTGCTTTAAAGGGGTCATCGGATGCCCATTTTCCACAAGTTGATATGATTCTTTAGGGTCTTAATGAAAAGTCTATAACATAATTTGATTACAATTTGTCAATGGTAGTGTAAAAAAACACCCCTTTTACCCTGTCAAAATCAGCTGTTTTCAGCATGCTGTTCTAGTCCATGTTGCTTTAAATGCTAATGAGCTCTGCTGACCCCGCCCCTCTCTTCCGTGGGGTGACGAGCAGACTGTAAACTTCAGTCACGAAACTGGCTCACTAGCATATATTAGGAAAGGCAATTTGCAAAGATTCATAAAAAACCCTTTATACTCACTTCTTCTGTAGATGAAGCTGGATCACGAATGATTCGCGCGAACTTAAACGCATTTAGGACACAATGGTGGACAGGGGTCTAAGGTAAGACGCTAGTGTCAATCAACTATCGTGGGAGTGGCCAGTGCAGAACTACGTCATTCTGACAGGAGTCTCAGAACAGCCTGATTAGAGGGTGGGTTTTTATCATTATAGGGTGGATGTGTACACACACTTCCAACACACATTTATGTTCAAACAACAACAAAAGTTGGACAGGGGTCTAAGGTAAGACGCTAGTGTCAATCAACTATCGTGGGAGTGGCCAGTGCAGAACTACGTCATTCTGACAGGAGTCTCAGAACAGCCTGATTAGAGGGTGGGATTTTATCATTATAGGGTGGATGTGTACACACACTTCCAACACACATTTATGTTCAAACAACAACAAAAGTGAATTTTGCATCCGATGACCCCTTTAACTTTTAGCAGGCTCCTTCCCCTAGTGGGCGCTGTCATTGTTTCAAATTTACAGCACGATTTTATAGTCACCTGGTGGTGATATTTAGTATAGTGCCTAAACAAAATCTCCCAAGAACAGAAATTGTGATATCAACTTCAAATTTGAAACACAAATTTGATAAACATATTTCTTTGATTTTAAAGTCCAAATGATTTTGTATTATACATTTTGTATTTAGTGCCGTGCATTTGCTTTACAGTAATCCTATTTATTGAAGTGTTTTCACTTCTGCAATAATCTATTGAGTGTCTGTTAAAGACACCAACCATAGGTCTGTATTACAGCATTCATGAATTACAGCCATTTAAATTCAGATTTAGTGCATTTTCACATCAATGCTCAAAGATGGGAGTGACAGTTAGGCCTAAATCCTATACCACTTTTTTGCAGTGTAGTTCACCAATGGACCGAAAGTAAAGAGACATTCTCAGAACTGCATCTATCCTGCTACATTCATTCACAGTGTATTTTGTCTTCCTAAACTTAAATCTGAACGTCACCTGCACTCACCCACACACGCTCGGCCGTCTCTGCTGGGCTTGTAGCCCTCAACACATCTCTTCTTAGAGCTGCACTTATAGTGTCCGTATGTGTTGGTGCACACCGGACGAGTGTGAGGACACACGGCTGGCAGACGCCTGCACTCGTTTGCGTCTGAACAGGATGAAGGAAATGGAGACAGAATCACACTCACAGACTGGGTGCTCCCTCACGATTGCTTTATTAGTATTGCACACCATTCCAATTTTGAGTAAACAAGTTCTAAAAAAAAAAGAAAAGAAACAAGTGTGTCTGATGTAAACATTTTCCGATTTAGTTAGTGCTGACTATCATTTTACCCTTAGAAATGTGATGAATAACAGTACAAGTGTTCAGTTTCAATAGCACTACAGGAAAGATTTTGCATCTGTGGTTGAGTTTGCTGAATAACTGGTTCAGTATCAGACATCTGACAGCACAGCTCTGATTTAATGAGATGATGACACTCAATGTCCAGCTGAAAATACTCAGGCTCTCACTGTTTGAGGGGCAAGAGAGAGAAAACATGTCAATGTTTTATAATCATTCAGATGTGTTAATTAGGTGTGTACTGGAATAACTGCCAAAAGACATTAGATCAACGTTTGCATTACATTTAAAATCTTTTCTCTCTGCAATTTTTGAGACTCAAGAGATCTGAGCTCTTAAACCTTCTCAGCCAATTTGAGCAATAAAATCTGCATATTCATTAATATGCAAAACAGGGTCCAAAATTAGTTTTTTGTCATTGAGGAAATGCACTGAGCATAAATAGTCATGAATTGCATTTTGAACTTTTGTACTAAAACAACTTTTTTGGACATTTGTGACATTTAAAGCCATTTAAAATGAAATCGTGTATGTTGTCTTGAATTCCAAGAGTTACAGAAATGCTTTTAGAAATGTTTTTACCATTTTTACTAAAATTTGGAGCAATTGTGAACTGAGCATGAAATTCACAGATAATCTTACCAATGCAACGGCCGTTTGTGTTGACTGTGAATCCCTCTCCACACTGCAGAGAATCAATACAGAGCCGTACCTCAGTATTCCCCATATTTTATTGAAGTCAGATAATATTGACCATCAGATAATAATACGTGTGTTTTGTTATAATCTAATGTCTGTTCCTAAACGGCATATTCTCCATACCTGGCTGTGTAAGGTGTGCATTGACTCCTCCTCCTCATTTGCATGCAGTCGTACCTGTGCATCAGATGTGAGTGCTGACTCCTCCCCCTCATTAGGATATGTGACCTCAATGACTGTGTTCATATCAGCGGACTCGAGCGGCCGAGCGATGGAGCGACCATCCGGCCAGTAGACTTCAATGCTGGTGGCCTCATCGGTTCCTAAGAGCCAATGAAAAGAGACTATTAATCTCATATGCTAATAGCTAGAGTAGTTACTGAGATAGAATGAGTCAAAATGAAATACATTTAAATGTTTGGGGTCTATAAGATAAAAAAAATCAAAAGAAGTCTCTTGGGATCAACAAGACTCCATTTATTTGATCAGAAAATACAGTAAAACATTTTGTATTGTGAAATATTATTACACTTTAAAATAACTGTTTTCTATGTGAATATCCCTTAAAATGTAATGTATTCCTGTAATGCAAAGCTGAATTTTCAGCATCACAACTACAGTCTTCAGTGTCACATGATCCTTCAGAAATCATGCTAATTTGCTGCTTAAGAAACATTTTGTGCATTTACAGTAACATCATAAATGTCATTTTTGATCTATTTAATGTATTAATTTCTTTCAAATTAAATCTAACTCACCCCAAACTTTGAACGGTAGTATATGTAGAATAAAGCAGCTTTTCCTACACTTAATACATCATAAATCAGGCAGAAAATGATTTAAATGAAATGACTGAATTAATTTGTAAATGATCTGATCTGTATACCTAGCCCAAAGTGAGCCACAGGCTCCATCTCGCACAGATAGCCTGATCCTCCATCAATGATACGAGTGTGTGCGCCGCTGTGTTTCGTGAACATCACCACCTTCGCTCCACGAGCGAACGAACCGAAACGTGTGCGCGGCACCACACGCAGCCACTTATTAGAGGAGCCCTGCGGAAAAGACAAGAAAGCATGCTGAGCTGACCATTAAAAATGTTTATTTACACTGAATTTTATGTCAGAACTTAAAAGACAATGTATACAGTACATAAACAGTGAGGTCCAAAAGTCTGAAGTCATGGATTGTTACATTGGAAATAAACTTTCTGACATACCTGGTTGACCTTAAACACAGAGATGGGCTGAGAGGCGCTCTCCCCGTGAGCCACCAACAGATCCAGCAGACCGTCACCGTCAAAGTCTGTCACTGTGGCACCTGTTACCCAACCAGAACATCACGTTATAATGCTGGCAGTTATTAAAGAAAGACATAAAGTTGTTTATCTACACAGGAAGTGGCTCTGGTCATGTGATCTCACCTGTGCCCCTCCCCTGAGGCTCAGAAGCGTCGCCCACATCCAGCTCCGTGATGTCAGGGTCAGAGTTCTGCTTCCTCGACACCCTACACACACAAAAGCCAGTGTTGTTTCAGAATTATTTACATTATTATTTATGAATTAATAGCTTTTATTTCTTATGTTTTTCTAGTTGAAATTGTATTATGTGATTCTGTTTTTTATTATTATCTTTTAAGTATTTATATTGAAATATTTTATATTCAGCTTTCGTTTTAGGAATTATTTCATTTCTAAATTTCATTAAATTTTTTAAGTTATGTTTATCTAATATTTATATTTTATTTAATTTCAACTGTATTACAATTACTGAAAATTGGTTTACAAGGACAAATTAACTATTGAAAAAGACATTATAATCTCTAAACAATATAAATATATATCAGTGAATATCGCACATCAGAGCTGAAGTACCTGAAGATTCTGTTGGGGGCATTTCCTTGGTAAGCAATGTTGTTAAAGAAGACTTCAAGCTGAAGATCGTTGTCAGTATTATTTACTATAGCAACTCAATGGCCCAACAGACCCAGCAGATTTTAATAAGATCATTTTAAGGATTAAAAAATAAAACTTGAATCAGTGTATGAATCTCAACAATGGTGACATGTCACTGTCTAAAAGCTACTATGTGACAAGGTGTAATACAACATAATACAACAGAACACAGAACTAGGTTTTTATAAGCTGTCAACCC